ATATGCTATAAAACTTGAAAAACGCTTCCCCATTCTCGTTCTGGAAGTCAAAGCCCATGGGAAATTAATAAACAGGCTGGAGTTGATTGGCTGAAATATTTTTTGGCGAGAAATGTTGAATTATCAATTCGAAAACCAGAGCCTACTTCGATAGGAAGAATGTCAGCATTCAATAAAAACAATGTTGATCATTTTTACAATAATCTTCATTCGACATTGATCAAACATCCCCAGATTGCTGAACATCATCCGGAGAAGTTACAAGATACAATTTCAGTTGAACCTGGTTTTGCTGCTGATGTTGCCAAGCAAAGTAATTTTTTATTGAAATTGTTACATTTTAAATTTAATTTATACAACTGGCACATAATATTAATATTTACTTTTTTGTAATCATTGCCATTCAGGCTTTCAAACTTCCTGTGATGAAAACCTCAGTAGTATGGTGGCTATTACCCCTGAATCAGTTCGTCCGTATCCAAAAGCTCCAGCTCGTCAGGTACGTAAAACTAAACGTAAGAAATTAACTTCCAGAGTGTTAACCGACACCCCAGTTAAAGAAGAGCTTCGCGTGCAGCAAACTCGTGAAGAGATAAAAAAACGTCCCATCATGAACAAAAGGAAATTGCAACAAAATAAAAAAAATCAAATATCCGAAGAGAGCAACAGAGTAACAAAAAAAAATAAAATTAAAAGACAATTATATGCTGAGAAGGACATATGCGTCATGTGTGGTGAGGCTGGCCGAGACAACTAAATGTGGTTTCGTTGCAGAAATTGTGCCAAGTGGGCTCACGAGCTCTGCACGAGTGTTTCTAGTGCAGTTGATTACATTTGCGAATTTTGCATACATGAATAATCTTATTATTTCAATTTTTGTTTCAATTAAAAATACTTCAAATGTGTTTATTTCCATGAATTTGTTGCTATTCTTTAATGGTCCATTTGGTACTTTACCCGGTCCATCCAGTACACCGCTATTGTACCGAATGGACCACCAAAAAAATTGGAACAACCCACCTTAAAAATTAAATTATAAAAAAATTACGTTATTTGGAAATATTAAAAAAATACCGTCAACTGTGCAAGATAATGACAAATCAAGATCAGTTATTAAAATAGCGATAGCTGATTTTGTTGAGCAAAGAAAAAATATTTAGTGAGCGACAAAAAAAAGCGGTCCATTCGGCCCCCGTCTCCCCTATATATATATATTTATGAGTGTTATTATCAAATAATATATATTATAATGTAACCATATACATATATATATATATATATATATATATATATATATCAATCAATCAATGATCCTCCTTTGTCCATCGGGGGACCGTCGAGGCCGATGGTGTACATCTAAGCTCGCTTTTTACGTTTATTTTTTCCTTTTTTCTTTCCAAAAATCTTTTCTATTTTTGGCCAGTTTTATTGAATTCAGAATACCAACACCAGTCTATTCAGTAATGTCATCTATCCAACTTTTTTCTTCCTATCTCTTTTCCTCATTAGTACCATCTTAATCAATCTGGCTTCTCTCATTCTACAAATGTGTCCAAAAAATCCCAATTTTCTTTCTCTGACTTTGTTATATACACTTTTCTGTCTTCCAAGTTGATTTCTGATGGTTTCGTTCTTTACTTTCTGCCTCCAACTGATTTCCAACAAATTTCGGTAACACTTCATCTCAAATGCTTCCAATCTGTCTTTGTCTCTACTTTATTTTCTTTATTCCATATATATATATATATATATATATATATATATATATATGGTTACATTAAATATAAATATATATATATATATATATATATATATATATATGGTTACATTAAATATAACATATATTTATGAGTGTGTTTACGTGTGTGCATAATTTATTTTATAATATATATTCATTTAATATTACGTATCCGTCCGTATTATAAGTATATGGATGGTGATCCGCGTCAAAAATTTGCTTTTAGTTTCCTATCACGAACTGAAAACGAAAAAAGAAAGACGGAATTACCCAAAATTGCCGAAGTTTTTTCCTTTGGGTGTATCTCGATGACGTGCCTTTAATTCCGTTATTTGATATTGTAAGTTTAGCAAGTTGATGAATTTTTCATAATGCTTCATTTTTTTTTGTAAAACTTTATAAAATAAAAAAGGTTTTTTTCTATTTATTTTGTCATCAAAATTAATTTTTTTTTAGATAGCCAGCATGACGGCTACTATTTTGTTAGTTTAGAGTTAGGTCTTAGGTGGAAGAGCACTCTTACTTTCATTAAATTAAAATTTTGTTGTCAAATTAAAATCAAAAGATCAATATTATATAATATTAAATAATATTTATAATACTAAAAAGTTACTAATACTATCTATTCTATCTATTGTTAATTCGTTAATTGTTATAAAAAACGTAAACTATTTTGTAAAGTACACTAACTTTAATATCAAAGTATAATTTAAAATTGCCTACTGTTTTACAAGTCTCAAATAAATCGATGAACGATAAATGTAAAATTCAATAAATAAGCAGATTGAAGCAAAAACATTCCTATTTCTCTTTTCAAGTTTAAAAATAAAAAAAATGAGTAATTTAGAAGAGAGGCAAAGATCAATAAGGGTTTTAAAATTTCCTCATGATCAAGATTGCTTGTTAATATTGAATCTTGAAAATGAAGAAATTGGTGGTGGTGAGGTTGAAAAGATCATTAAAGTTAAAAGTGGTGTCGATGTCGTCTTTGCAGATGAATCAGGTTTTTCTGTTCATATTCTTTTTTGTTTTTTAGGTTAATAGTAGAGGTTTAATATATTGGTAATTTAAATATCTATTAATATAAATTACAGTTGCTGAATTATTTCTGATACAAGAGTCTATTGAATTAGAAGGAGTCAAATACAAAATTGTTAAAGTTAAATCTGATGTACTTGAAATTACTTGGGAACATGTTTCACTTTCAGAAAAGAATTTAAGATTATATTTAGAAAATTGTAAACGATCTGGTGGGGGTCCTATAAAGAGAATTGTTCATAACTCTAATTTGTGTTATGCCTTGTGTGAATTTAAAGATGCAACAGGTTTTTATTTTATAATTGGCTAATAGCACTTTTTTCATGTATTATTTGATTTAGAATAGATGTCTTATCACGTTTATGAGATAAATTGAACTTTAACAATTTTACAGTTTTAGACCGAATTTTAGACAAATCCCACTGCCTCTCATACACTGAATTAAAAATGAGAAAAGTAGAATTCGAAGAGCTTGATGATCTCTATAATTGCTGTTCAGTGAGGGTTGTGTTTCCCAATGATCCCCAAATGACTTTAGAAGAAATTCAATTATTTTTTGAAAATAAGACAGCTGGTGGGAGCCAAATAACGAACCTGTACTTGGACAGATTTAGCAGGATTGCTGTCCTAACTTACAATTCTCACACAGGTTTATCAAATGTTGAAATTGTACAAAAACAAATGTTTTTTTACAAATTTTAATTATGTCAAATAAACCTATTGTTAAAACTGATTTTTTTTGAATGTTTTTATAGATGTTGAAAAGTTGTTAGAGTACCACGGTTATGATCCATTAAATTTCAAAGGACAATATTTTAACATTGAACAATTGTTTCCTATATACTTACCTTCAATTGAACATTTTGAAAGTTTTTCAAAAAAAGTAATTTTGATAAGTGAACTACCAAAGCTTTTTAAAAATGATGATTTGATGAAGTTCATTAAAATGGCGCTAGTTGAAGATGTTACCAATTTACTCTTCTCACAAGAAAAGCCTGGTCTAGCTCTTGTGTTTTTTCAAAATGATATTGGTTAGCTTTATAGTTGCTACTATAACATTTAACTATATTTAAACTTGTACATAAGCGATTTAAAAAAATATTTTCTTTAGATTTCAAAAAAATTCAGGAATTGGTGTATAAAAGAGCATTCATGGATAAAATGCTGTCAATTAGGCCAGCTAAAAAACCAAAAAAACTTGAAGTTTACGACCCTTGTCAATCATATGGTGCTGATGGGTTACTTCTTTACTTTGAACAGCAAGAAAAAGGAAATTATGAAGTGGAATCAGTAGAAAAAAGAGATGACAATGTTGTTGTAACCTTCAAAGACTTGTCTGGTGAATAGATTTGTATTCTATGTTGTTTATGATTATTTTGCATTAGTTTGCAACATAATCACATTTAATTGACATTTTTTATGTTTTTAATTCTACCAAAAAAATGGGAACTTTAAACCTTGTCTCAACTTGTCTCAATGCTCAAATTTCAATATTTGGTTTCAACTTTTACCCTTGAATAAGATGCAGCTTATTAGACGTGCTATACTTTTTTTAAAGATTAAAGGTTACTCTCTCTCTTTTGCGTTAGCCTCAGAGGTTTCAACGACAAACACACACAGCATATATGAATACGCGTGCAAACCACGCATCATACACATTGCATATGATAGGCGGGGATCTCTTTTGTATTCGAGCCCAGTCATGCAATAGCAAGACCAGGCGCCTTTAACCATTGAGCCATCACGCCGCCCAATGGGCAATGAGTTATTATAGAAGAATGGTATTTTTTTAATTTTAAAACTATTCTTTATTTTTACCTTAAAAATTTCTAATTTGTACAACAAGACTTACGATCCAGACTATTAAATTATTATTTAAATTAACAATAATATATAATGTTTAACATTTAAGTAATTAAAACTAAAAATTTTTCCAATTCTTTAATGAAATGAAAGCTGTAGAAGCAATAATTTCTAAAGAGAATGAAATGACACTTTTACCAATATATGAAGAGGTTTTCTTGATTTATTTAATTTAGTAGCAGATTTCACAGTTTGATTTCAGTTTTAAAAATTTTCATCTCAAAAGTTAAATTTTTTTATCGTTATTAACTTATTTATAAAAATTTTACATATTAAAGTTAGGAGAGTTACCGAGGAATGTGGACCATACAAGCTGTTTGTGTTGGCTGCCTCAGTGCTGCAAGGTTGTCTGTGACGTCAACATTTTAAAGTTCATAAAAACAGCTGAAGAGACCAAGAATAAAATACAGAACGAAGTTTTGAATGAACTTATGGGTGAAATTGATTGGAATGCTAAAAGTACAGCCAACAATAAGTCAATGGAAGAAATAACCATTAAATTCAAGGTCTATGATGATGTAAACAGCATAAATTTGGAAATAGTCCAATCATGGGAAAAGCATTGTAAAGAGAAACTTAAAATTTTCTTACAAGAGTTTGATTGCATGGAATTAAAGTTTCAAAAAGAAATTTGGTCCGCCGTTCTGGTTATTTATTGTGAGCAAAACAAAATTTTATTGGATGTCTCAACTGCAGATATTTCACAGCTATGCGAAGATAAAGTTCTCATCGAAATTTTGAAAAAGTCGTTTACAATTAAAATTATAGGTTTTAAAATGTTTGTCAGAAAATACATGATGAACTTGAATAAATTGAAAACTGCAGTGGAAGAAAAATTTAATTTATCAAAACAGATTTGTGAAATCGAATATGGAAATCTGAAAAGTTTTCAGGCTCTCTATTTTAAATTAATAAATTTCGATCCAATAAACTTGATGTATAAAGAATACTTTTCAATTAAATATCAAGAAGACGGATCCCTGTTAATTACTGGTCTACCAATTGACATTAATGAAGCAAAATTGCAAATACTAGAACTTGCAAATAAATTGATAGCTCAAAAATTTCCAGCTCAACTCTATTTGTTAAAGATTTTATCATGCCAAGATTTCATAAAGTACATTGACAGTCTTTTCCAAAAGAATAATCTTGATGTAGTTTGGTCTGTAGAGAATAACGAGGTGTGCTTGTATAGTACCAACCAAAAATCTTTAAGCTTAGCTCAGAACATTCTTCAAGAAGAATTTACGTATCACGAGATGAAAGTTGATGCTTCTATGAAGGAGACAATGAAAGAACCAGCATGGAATGACGTCATTTCATTTATTCAATCGATGTCACTTGTTCTGCTGAGAGTTAACGAAAACAAAACATCCATCGAACTGATTTCAACTAGTAACAACATGAATCAAATTTTAGAACGCATATCAAATTATTTTAACGAAAATGCAATTTATGAAAAATTTCTTCCTTTGCCAGATGGTTATGTGCGGTTTATTGAAAAGTATTCTATTGACAGCTTGAAAGAATTAGAGAAAAAATTTTTGCATAGTAAGACTAAGATAATTTTGCAAAACAAAAATACAATTGATGGATTTTCTGGTTGTCTCATATCTGGAACGGCTTCAGCCCTGTGTTTGGTAATTCAAAATATCGAAAATATGAAAAAATTAATAATAAAGGATGTCATTGAGCTAAAAGGGATCGGACAAGTTAAATTATTTTCAGATAAAGACGGTAAGGGTAAGAGACTTCTGGAAACTGTTCAACTGAGCACCGGAACATACATCTGTGAGCACTCAGAAGATTCGTCGGATTCTTCCGTTTTTAAAAAATTCATGGAAGTTATAATCAATGATGACATCCATATCCAGCTTATTCTCGGAAGCATATTGGAATCAAATGCTGACGTCATCGTGAATGCGGCTAACAGCAGATTGCAGCATAATGGTGGCGTAGCGCATGCTATTTCAATGGCTGGTGAGTTTTAAGGAATTGCGCACTTAAATTTAAAATGTCGCGTCCAAAATAAGGAAAGTATAAATATTGGCATATACATATTATTGCATTAAGGTACAACCTGTTCAAAGTATGTCTAATAAAATTATCATTTAATGATAATACTAGTGTTTTGTATATAAATTTAAGAACAAATATTAACAAATTACTTCAATCATATATGTATTTAGTTAATGTTTATTTTAAAAAAAAGCTGGTACAGATGTTCAAGCTGAATGTTCCAGTTATGTAAAACAACATGGAGAAGTTTCGACGAGTGACGTGTACATATCAGGACCTGGTAGACTCAAATTTAAAGCCATCATTCATGCAGTTGGACCAATTTATCGTGCCCAGACAAATGCAAACACCTTGTTGTGCAACACTATAAGCAACATCATGAAGTGTTGTGAAGGTCGGAAGTGGTCAAATGTTGCCTTACCTGCTATCAGCACTGGCATTTTTAGCTTTCCTCTCGATAAAGTAACATATTAAAGATTTTACAAAGTTTTATTTCACAAAGTTTTTTCTGTTTATTTAATTCTGTTAATTTAATTTAATTGTTTACCGTAGATTGTTTAAAAAATTTTTTTTTACAAAATGCCAAATTCTGTTTGGGAGCTTTGAATTCATTATTATTTAATTAATGTGATTAACGTAGGCTGCGTCAATAATAATTGAGAGTATTGAAGATTGCACGAAAAATTTAAAAAACATAAAAATTGTTCAAATCGTTGACACAAATGCAAACGTTATTAAAGAATTTCAAAAAGTTCTATCAAATAAACTCAAAGTTGAAATTTTATCTTCTACTGATTTGAACATTGAATTGCCCTTACAAAACAAGGAAAAGCCAGCTGTCTATAATTTTACTGGTGTGGGTTAGTTATCTTATAATTAATTATCTACTCGAATTAATGAAATGGTTTAATTTTGCAAGAATTGGTCAAAGAGAAAGCTGCAAAAAATATTAATTTGAAAAGGGATAACTCTCGTCTGAAGCTAATTACAGGATCACTAATCGACCAAAACGTTTGTTACTGTTTATGAGGAAATTTGTAGTGAAACGTAGATTTGTAGCAATTAATTTAATCCTTTTTCAGGTCGATGCCATAGTCAATTCTGCTGCTTCTGACTTGAGGTTAAATCGTGGAATAGTTTCTAAATTGATATATGATAAGGGAGGCGTACAAATACAAGCCGAATGTTATGCTCACCATCAAAAATATGGGGACTTAAACGTTGGTGATTTGGTAGTAACAAATGCGTATAATTTGCCGTGCAAGTTTATATTTCACGGATTGTGTTTACAATGGGATAATTTTAGAGGAAGTTGTGAAAAAGTAATTTAGTTCACTTTGACATTTTTGCCGTCACGTTATTTATTGACTGATGTTTCATTAACTCTTTTAGGCTATTAGATCACTTGTTCTGAATTCGTTGAAAAAAGCGGATGAAATGCATTTACCATCATTAGCCATGCCCGCATTTGGGACTGGCACTTTACAAGTGCCAGCAAATCTAGCGGCCAAATGGATGTTTGAATCTATAGATGAATATTTCACTTCAAATACAAACTCTCAAATATCCGACTTGAGAGTGGTTGTCTATGACAAGGACTTGCCTTCAATCAATGTTACTTTCTATTTTGATGATGCATATATTTATTTGATTAGTTTTTTTTAAATTCATTTGATAGGCTTTTGAGAATTTTCTGAAGAACACTGCTAAACATACATCTACCTTTGTTGCAAAAAAAAGTGATAGACAATTATTAAAGGAGAAAAAAAAGCACGGTAACTTTATACGAGTTTATGAAAAAAAATGTAAAACATATGAAAAACAAATGATTAAATATTTATTTAGATGGAATAGAAGAAGGATTTTCAATCAACATTGGAGATGTGACATTAGAAATCTGCCAAGGAGATATAACTGAAGAAATTTCCGATGTTATCGTCAACAGTACCGACTCCTCATTCAGACAGCTGGGAAATGTTTCTAAAGCCATATTTGAAAAGGGGGGAATAAATATTCAAGCAGAGTACAAAGATATAAGTAATGTTAATTATTTCTTTGCTAGTGCAATCAATTTATAATTGAAATTGTGTACTGCATTTGAAGCAAAAGTCGATAAAATGCTAATAACTAGCGCTGGTAACTTACTTTCAAAATTCGTCTACCACATTAATTTAACGCACGATAATAATTGGTCCGTAATAGAAGAATGCTTAATTAGTGCTGAAAGGAATAAACTTGCATCCATATCGTTTCCTCTGCTTGAAACAGGTCAGCTCCCTACCTGATATTTTTTTAAACGTAATTCAAAAACCAAATTATTTTGTTTTGTAATTTTTAAAGTGAAAATTTTTTTTGATATAATGAATTGTTAAATTTGTAGTTTTTCCTATGGCATTAGAATATGAAAATAACTAAGCTAAAAATTATTATTGCCAGTTAACAATTTGTGTCTTTTCGAAACATTTGCATTTTTTTAAGTTTAAATTAATAATCACCATAGTTTTATATATACTTTTTTCAGTCATTAATTCATTATTATCACTTTGAGGTCAATCTCATCAGTACGTCTCCCGTTCGCAAAATGGTAAAAAGTTGCGCCTTTGATTAATTACACAGAAGTTAAAACAATTACAATGTAAAGTTGGCCAATTTGAAGCATCACGGCAACTGCGGAAATTTATATTGAATTTAATAAAATTTACCAAAGATAGAAAGGATTTTGGAAATCTACAAAAAATTGGAAGTCATCGACTTAACGGTTTTTCAACGAATTAAAAAGATTATTTAGATTAATTGATTGATTGGTAGAACGCTAATAAAAAATAAATATCTGAATATATTCTTTTCTCTATTCATGAGCGTATCTGCACTACTTTGGCGGGGTGGACGAGACTCAAAATTTGTGTGATGGTGCTTAAATTTGATAGTTGGCGACCTTTTCTTCTTTTTGCCATTTTTGCTATATAAAAGAGTTTTTATGCACAAAAAGTAATCAAACAATGTGTTGGCTGAACTCGGCCTGGAGACTTGCTCATGATCGCTTGAAATGGAGGCACCTTGTTAAAACGGCAACGTCACGTTAAGGGGTACGCCCATAATAACACGAAAATAGTTGTCGAACTGTTAATAACGAGGGCATGGCTCTCCTAGCTCCTCTCTAAATCCACCACTGTCTCTATTTGTTGTGATTATTATTTGCCAAAATTACCAAATATCAATTTTAATGTACTGATTAATGAAATAAAATAAAAATTTTCAGGTGTGAAATCAGTTAGCCAAGCGGCGGAAACGTTTCTTAAAAATGTGTGCAGATTCAATGAAAGTAAGCCAATAATAGTTAAAAAAATCAGGATTGTTATTTTTGAGGAAAAAAAAACTATAGAATTTAAAAAAGCCATTGAGTCAAAGTTAAAACCTGGCCTATTTTCAAGTAAGTTAACTGAAAAAATATTTGCATTATTTACAACAAATTCGGTTAGGAAATTAAAAAACAAAACTGGACTTTTGTTATCCCGAAATTTTGTTTTATTGTTTTATTTGTCAACCAAAATTAAATTTTTATGAACAAACTGAACGTTGATTTTTCAAGGAATTTTCGGTAACAATGAATATTCAAGATTAGTTATGAATAATTACATCACGCAAAAACCTCTTCCCCCTTCTATCAAATTTAATATTTATTCTTCTGGCCAAATAAATGTTGAAAAAGCCAAACGAGAATTACTCAATTCAATTAATGATTTTGTTACTGAAAAGAAAGTGCCTGGACTGTGGAAGGATATCATTTTGAAACTTTCCGATGATGAAGTAAATTGAAATGAGTTTTATTTTTTATCTCAAATTAATGGAAATGTTTTTAGATGTGCGAATTGGACAAACTGAAGAAAACCTATTACGTGGATATGAAAATAGAGAAAAACATTGGTCAGATTACATTAAGTGGGCTTATAAAGGATGTTGATAACGTCTGTGATAAATTGATCGAATACTTAAATAGAAAAAAACATCAGATAGAAGAAACAAAAGAAGCAGAGAATATTATAAAACAAGTAGTTTAAAAATAACTTAATCAGATTAATTTATATATATTTATCATTTACGATTTAATTTAAATATTAAGGTAACATGGATGTTCAAGAAAGACTACGAATACATAAACTACCCAGATGAGATAGCATGCCTCATTGAGAAAGCCTTCATCAACAAGAACAAATCTGTTAAATGGTTGGAGAAAGATGGAGAATTTGAAATAAAATTTTCTGAAATGATGGAACATTCAGCTTCTGCGTCAACCACTCCCGTAAAAAGAGTTCCTATTGGTAAAAACTATATTTTTGCTCCACTTTTTCCCTATAAAACTAGAAATTATGAAATTGTCATCACCCACAATTTATTTTGTTTTATCACCAACAATTTATTTTATATATTCATCCGTATGTACAGAGTACACGTGATAATTTTTAAACTTGTTATAAAGGCTGTTTTCTACCTGTAACCTGGGATCATATGAGCGAAAATGAAACCATCAAAATAGTGGAACTTTCCCCCAAAAGTGAAGAGTATAATCACGTTGAAGCAAACATGAGGGCATTTGAAAAAGTTCACTATACCATCATCAAAGTATGCATCAGTTTCTTTTACAAATTCTCTGTCGAGTTGTTCAATTATTAAAATATTACAGATTGAAAGAGTACAGAACCCTATCATGTTCAAGCAATATGCTGTGGGGCGAGATGCGATGATTAAGTACTACAAATCAAATCCGTCTGTGCAAGTTGAAAGACGATTATGGCACGGAACGGGCAGTGATACTATTCAGGCTATAACTGCTGAAGGTTTCAACAGAAGTTATAGTGGCAAGAACGGTAGGAGTATTTTTAAAAGATAATTATATTCAATGAAGTCCCAGTCCACTAAAATACCATTTCATAACTTTTACAGCCACATGCTATGGCAATGGATCATACTTTGCCAAACATTTTAGTTATTCTGCCAACAAAACATATTCCAGACCTGACCTGAATGGACACAAACATGTATTCCAATGTTTAGTCCTAACAGGAGAATTTGCTAAGGGAAGTGAAGGACTCAAAGCACCTCCAATGAAAACCAACCAAACAAAATACGACAGTACCGTTGACGACGTTTCACACCCACATATATTTGTTGTTTATAATGATACATACGCCTATCCAGAGTACATTATAACATTCGTTTGAATATTGCGCTGTAAATTCATGTGGACTTAATTTTCATTGTATTCATATTTTGCTATTTTCCAAATTATTTATTATTGCTCTACTTTTTTAATTTTCTTGTTTAAATAACTTATTCTTATTCTATTTAATAACTGTAATTCTATATAATACGAATTCAAATGTATGCATGCTTTTCAAATAAATACAACATAACCACACCTAAAAAATTTTGTTAAGAAGTTGAGTAGCAGGTGAACACGTAAAATTTCAAACAATGGAAACAGTTTGTACAGTTTGTACTTATTCATCAAAAAGGTGCTTAAAATATTTCATCAATGATGTATTTATATTCATACTTATCAATGACATGTGTCAGATATAACAGTCATTAATTAACGATTTCGCCTCCGCGAGTTGCTCCTGCTTCTAGAATTTGACCTCGACCTTGACCTAGACTTAGATCTGGACTTTGATCTATCTTTGCTATCTTCTTTAATTCTTATGTAAGATGTTTCACCCTTTTATTTCAAAGAGTAGTTTGAGAAATAAGGTAATGTAAAAAAAATAAGCAATATAAATAATGATAATTCTAGTTTTACAATATTTATAAAACAAATTATGTGATGTATACCTCATGAGATTTAAACTTTGTGTCATCAAGCTTCTTGACAGCATATTTCATATCATCATACCGCAGAAATTCAGCTATGCCAGTACCATCTCCATACGTGTCTGCATAAACAATATCACCGGCTTCCCTCAAATGATCCTTCAAATCCTGCCAGCTCCCAGTTGGAGGTAATCCTGAAAGTAAAGTAAAGAAAGATGTAGTTTTAAAATATTTTCTTGAATATAAAATATCCAATGTTGAACTGCATACCTGAAACATGGATTCGATAATCTGATCTTCTCTGGGGTCCATATGAACCTCGACCTCTTCCTCTGCCTGGCCGGCCACTGCTTATGCGACCTTCAAATCTATTTTCATATCGTGAGCCTCGACTTCTTTCCCCTCTTGGGTGCTCCACCCTTAACGTGTATCCATCATAGTTGTAACCATCCCGATCTTTAATTGCATCTTCCGCATCTCTGATCAATGACATACAAATTTAATTATTACTATTAAATAGATCAGTTATGTTTTGTTCAAGCTACAAATTTTTAAACCAATAAAACTTAATAGAGGCCTGCAGACAAACAAACTCAAAAATAATTAATCAACTCAAATTGAAATCTAATTAAATGCTAAATTTAAATTAGAATTTAATAGGTTAGTTATTGTATAAAATTTTATATAACTTTCTTTGTTTTTTGTTTTGCTACACATTAATATTAAGAAAGTTAGGCAAAAGTATACTTTTCTGCCTACAATGCAATTAATATAAGTGAGATAAAGAAAAAATGAGTATAAAGTGATAAGGGAACAAAGGAAAATATGGACTTTAAAAATTTTAGGTCGATTATTTGTTATATAGTTGCATTAGTGTTATTTTCAGCATATTTTTTGTACTTTTGAAGTATATTAATCCTTACTCTAATTCCTACCTGTTATGCAAAAAGTGTACTTTTGTACCTACCAATTACATTAATGATACAAAAATCAGAATGTTGGAGTTGGTTAGAGATTATTGCCGGAGTCAGAATTTTTTAAAAGACTAGAGTCTGAGTCAAATTTTTAGGGGTTGGAGTCAGATTTTTTAATCCGACTTCAGAAAATATTATTTATTTTCAAAAATTTCATTTTTTTTTTGTTAAAATTGTTTTATGTATGTGTTTTTAGAGAATAAATATATGTAGCGATAAGCAATCATCTTAAATACTAAAAATAAATGCTAATAATGTGAATAAATTATGATACAAAAATTGAAATTTTTTTACAATATTTTAAAAAAAGTAATTTTACTAAAAAAAACAATTACATATTACATTCACTGATTTTCATTGATTTTTAAAGTATTTGTATCTAGTAATGATAATAAGGTGAAATTATAATGCAATGGTAGAAAAATATTTCTGGAATTTGAAACCAAGAATCAGTCAGAAATTTTTACCTTGAGTCAGAATTTTTAAAAGTTGGAGTTGGATATTTTTCATCCTATTCTGCATAAAAGTATGCTTTCAAGCTTACCATGCATAATGGATAAAAGTGTATTTTCTTGCCTACCATGCATAACCATTACAGCAGTTACATCATGAAAATATTAATCCATCTTTGTAAATACATTTTCATTGTAAATTTGCTATTTCATTCTAATTTATTTAATTTTAAATGTGCTAAATTAAATGTATATTATTCTAAGTATAATACTATAATATAATGATATTATATTAACATTATAGTATTTATCTTTTATTTATATAAGTTTACTTCAAGTTTTTATATTCCCACTTTCATGCTTATTTCACAAAAAAATTAATTGCAGGATGGACAGAGAAATATACTTTTGCCAAAGTTAAAATATATGACTATATGTGAAATAAAAAATAGTAAATACTAGTTCTTAATTAAACAAATTAAAGTATTATTAGTATCTCATTACTAATTAGTAGCAAAATACTCTAATAAACTATAAAATAAATATAAAATAAAGAAAGTAATAATACTTTCAAATTTTAATTTATGCCAAAAAAATTAAATTAAAAAAATAAGTTTTATTACAAAATTGTCGTTACCTTGGGTCGTCAAACTCGATAAAGGCAAACGGCGGATTGTTTTTTTCTTTTAAATTGATAAAATTTATTTTGCCGTATTTGTAGAAAAGGTCCTCCACATCTCGAGTTTTAACGTCTGGGGGCAGATTGCCGACATAGACCTGTCCTTCTTTGGAGTCGTTTCGATAACTCATGGCCGGAACTGCTACAAAAAAAAATTTAACCGCCTTAATAAAATGTGAATTTTATTTCACAAAATTCGTAAAACGTCCTCAGAAGATCGCAAAGCACCGACACAATTTGAAATATATTATATTTACACAGGCTTTCGAAGCTGGTCGCATTTACTTATGTAGCGCTGATTTTCTATGTTAAAACCGACTTTTCACTCACCTCATCAGGATATGCTACGATGATATCACATATATAGAATATATTCTATATATATGGATCATATATACTGAATAATTATCTACAACCAAAGATATTGTAATAATGAATTTCTAATGTACTCTATATGGTTAAATACATCTCTAGTCACAATATTGTATATATATTCTGTGCTTTCATTTCAAAAACTATTTAATTTACTCACAAGGAAACAATGTTATTTTATTACAAAATTGAGCTTCTGCTGACTTAAACGTTGAGAGGGTAGTAATTATTATTAATAAATTGTTATGATCACTAGAATGGTTATAACAATATAATAAATAAAATTCTTTCAATTGATTGTTATTATCTGTTAGTTTTATTGTATTTGTCATCTTTGTACAACTGTAAAATCTTTTGGTTGCAAAACTACCCATGTATAAATAAAAGTAGTGAGGCTGGAGTTGTAGATAATGGTGTTGCGATGCAAATCCTTATTGACGACAGTGTGACACCGAACGTATCTCTTGGATTAGTGGATGATCCAATATTTCAATAGCTGTTGACACTCAAATAAACGTTTAAACACCTCTGCGTTTGAAGCCGTTGTGTTTATCTATCAGAAATCTAGAACCTACCGAAGATCGAATGACTTGACGATAGCGCAAGCTACAACAATATAAATATTCAAAACCAAAACCCATCAGTCATGATATGCTCAACGTTCACTTCGCTTCTGTGTCGACCGAACAGTCGATTTATATCCATGAAAACCCCACTACCAAAAATCAATCACTACCAATTGTCGTCAGCAACAGTTTATGCCACTAATTATTCTATAAATACCAACTAAGGCCGGCCTGTCAGGTAGCCCTACAGGTCCATATGATCTCCTTCTCTGATATCTTCAAATTATTACATTCCCTATTCAACAAATTCCATTCCATCATTATGGGTATATTTTGTTTGAACATTGGAAACTACAGTGATGTATTCTTATTTTTCTGATATGGGTGCAGTCACTTTTTCATCTAATATCACACTGTCATACTACTGAAAAGTTCAATTTAAATTTCCATGAGAGCTTTGAGTTGTCAGATCGGACAAATGTTAGTTGGCTAATATATATATAGAAACCACATAAAAAGTCGTTTACAAATTAATGTTGTTAATTCAATCATTCAAAAATAATAAATTAAAGTTGATTTCGTCGTTGGTGGTGTGACTTTTCGATTTTGGTTTGTGAGGTTTTGATTTGGCAACCATCATATCTTTTTTAGCTGTAGCATTAAGACTTGTTTCTATTGTAATGTTTCTGACACTATCAAAAAATCTGATAACAGAGGTTATCAAATAATTAGATTACAGAAATACTTAATGTTGATAAAAAGTAATTAGCCAACCTCTTTATAACTGCAAAATTACTTTGCAACTTTTCATTAGCAATTTCAACGAGGAAAGTGAGATACTGAAATTAAAATGGTTAATGTTGGAAAAAAGATGTAAAACATTCAATTAAAGACAACCTCTTTAGAAACAAGTAATTGTCCATTTTTTGTTAAAGGAACCTCTAATGAAAGAGTACATCTAACAGCCTGGTGTTTCATAACATAATTAAAAAACCATTTAAAATGAAAAATACTTGAAAAATTGTTTTACTAAGTAGTAAATTACCACTGTAATCTTTCCTGATTTTCCAAACGACATACCAGAATTTTTCAAACCACTTTCAATTGCCAGCCTATGCTATAAAATGTAAACTAACAACATTAAACAACATTTTAATGAGCAAAACAATCATGAAACTCACCAAAAGCTGTGCGTCACATAGCTGTCTACATTGTACATGCAAAATGAATGGCTCAAACTTGAAAAATGCATTTCCTTCAGATTTGTTTAATCCATCTTGCTTCACAAATTGTTATCATTAAACTGAGTTGTTAGCTGAATAAGTGATATCAACTATAAATTTAAAATGAAATTCACCTAGCATGTCATGTAAAGAGCATAAATTATGACTAGTGTACAACCAAATGCATCCTTTCTTCTTGCAATTTATATTTCCAGGCTGCATAAATTAAAAAATATTATAATTATTTTAACATGTTGAATGAGGGTTTATGTTTTTTCTGTGACGTTTTGTAAAGAGCCATTTCTGTGATGTTCAACAGCACTCATGATAGAATTTTTTTTAAACAGATAGGTTTTGAGATCTGCTCTGAAATTCGTAAGAGATGGAGAAGTAGTTGGAGAAAGAGATAGAGACTTCCAGAGAAAAAAACCAAAAAAAGCAAACACAGATTTAGCATAACAGTGTTTAACATGAGTTAAGAAGAAGTGAGAACAAGATGACCATAAGATCCGGCGCTTAGGTTTAATTACTATATCTGATATATAGCTCCTTTCTGCCTCAAAGGGCCATGAATGCACCCAGCATGATCACACTTCATGATTCCTTTTCATTTATTGCATGATTTTCTGTGACTGAACAGACTAATTCTCGAGTAACAAACTCTACTACAGATTGCACATTAATAAGATTCTTCTAAAGCAAGAGTGGGCAAACCACACGAGCCATTTTATGTGGCCCTCGAGGCCTTGTACACATTTTGATAAAAAGAAAAATGATCTAAAAAGGTTGTCAGCCAGAGATATTATGACGAGATAAAGGGTGTCAACCATAAATGAACATCTTAACAAATCCTCTCAGGTCAACGGTTGAGTCAAAAAATTTACATATGTGGCCCTCCAATGGTAAAATAGTTGCCATGTGCCCTCACAACAAAAAGTTTGCCCACCCTTATTCTAAAAAATTAGCAGATGGCCTTTCTTCTTTTGCGCCTTTTGAAAACAGCTTCAAATCTTCTAGATTTTCTCAACAAAAGCACTATTTCAAACACTCTGCCTCCATGCTGTTTGATCCTGAGCAATCTTTTTCTCTTTATTATAAGGTTTTTGATTATAAAATAAATAACATAGAATAATAAGCAGTATGTGTGTGTATGTACATAGATAGTGCAGGCCCCCGTCTAAATTTAATTTTAAATTAAAATTACTTTAATTAAATTAATTAAAATTTTTAATTTAATAATCTCTTTATTAATTTAATTTAGTTAAATTTTCTTTTGTGTTATAAGAAGAAAAGGGCTTACCTCGTAGACACAAATCCGTCCGGAGCAGGAACTCGTAGTGAAATAATTGTTCAACTGATTGATGTAATTAACTAATTCCAAAACAGGCTCGTCAACACTTCCCTTGCGACTTAAATCTTGTTTGGTCGTTGCGCGTATTTTGTTTTCATCAAAATTCATTATAAACTTATTAAAAGGAAACTTAAAGTAAAAAGAAATGGCCAAGTTTTATCGGCTTACAAACAAACGTAGGTGATTTGCACGGGCTATAACGCCCAGATTAGCGTATCATCACATATATATAGAATACATCATGAATATATCATGTATATATTCTATACACATGCGTGTCTTAGTCGTACGCACGTGGTACTTTTCAGACATAGAAGGCTAATGTTCTACTAAATTTTAAAATACTGAAAATTCGAATGCAATTTCTAAGTGTAAATTATAAAATCATGGTATTGTTTTATCTAACATTAAATAATATAACAATCAAACAATATTCAGAAAATATGAACAGTATTTACCTAGGTAGATATTACTTACAAACGAATTTTTCCATTTATAAATAACAAACATGATTGAGCATTGCTACACACGTACATCTTTTAAAAACACTAGCTTGACATTATTTTATACTTCACGGACTCAAAAAAATTACGACTCCGGCAAAATCTTTTGACTACAACACCCGATAGTAACGAAGTTGAAAAAAATATGTAAAAAAGTGTTTTTGTTGTTAACAAAACAAAACCATACTCAACAATAAAACAACAAAGAAACGGTTTTTTGATACAAGATTTCAAATTTCATTCTGTGAGAGTGGGTCTTGCAATTCCAGCACCTTTTGAGCTTCCCTCAGGCCAGTAAGATAAGCTCCAGCCACCGTTTGAGGAAAATCTTTATTTGTCGCCTTTTGAAGGGGATTAAAAAAAAGTTGGTCAGTGTGTATTGTGATAATGATTGAAATTTCTGTGAAGGAAAACCGAGATATTAAAATCTAAATTAGGAACAAGGTAGAGACTTCAAGAGTTGATAAAATGAATATAATTGATGGCGTGATTCGTTGCCAAATTATAAAATGAATAAAAAGAAAAGACTTTAAAAAATAACTGACCTCTCCAGCGAAGAAGAGCTTATCATCGACGGACTGTGCAATGAGATCGAAAACATCTTCATTACAACCAACGGGGATGTAACAGTAGCTAAGACCTGCGTGGGGGTCCTCCTGCCATCTCGTGACCAGGTACGAAAGTGGCTCTGGGATATCCTGCGACGTTATGTAGTCGCTTAAATTATGCAATCATCAATATTATTTTTTACTTCCATTTTATCTAAAAACATAAATCTTGTAATTCTTCAAAACAATTTATCACCAGACTTAGTCAAAATTGCATTGAAAAGAGCAATCCTTTAAAATTTTTAGCACTCGCTTTTTGAAATTTGATAAGAATTCAAATAAGCACAATGCAATAAATAAACAAAATATGAATTATGTAAACTTCTTCTGGGAAAAGCTTTTTCAATGTATTCATGCACATGGATATAATATCCTTGTCAGACATTGATTTAACTATCTTTGCGGAGTTTCCTGTCAAGAATGTAGTCAAAATGCCTTCCTTGGCGTCACCTTCCAGCTGGTAACAATCAAACGAAAAGTCAGAAATATAATTAAAGGGATAACGTGTAAGTATACTTAACACATAGAGATGTTACTTGCTTGAAAAATTGTAATTAAAAGTAGTTAATGTTTCTTTAACATTTAAAAGACAAATTAAATCACCCAATGCTCTAAAAATAAATTCAAATGTATAAAGTAAAATAAGAAATGCAATTAGGAGAAAAAATAATGTAAAATTCAGATGTGCAAGAATAAAAATGTAATTAAAAGTAGTTAATGTTTCTTTAACATTTAAAAGACAAATTAAATCACCCAATGCTCTAAAAATAAATTCAAATGTATAAAGTAAAATAAGAAATGCAATTAGGAGAAAAAATAATGTAAAATTCAGATGTGCAAGAATAAGGATAGATACAAAAATGAAATATTTTTGAGAATTCATTTGAGACATCGAACTGTAAAAATGCACCGACTCACAAATGATGGATGAGTCGTATCATAGAAAACAACAAAATGTCCCCGATCATCATATGAAGAAGGAACATGACCGATCGCCACACCGTCCTTCACCTTCTTCTCCCAGAAGCGAGTTTTAAATTTAACCGCCACCTGTTAGCAGTAAAAATCAGAAAAAATGAATATTAACATTTAACACATCACCACCATTATCATAATTATCACGAAGGTTTTCACCAAAGTATTGCGCATTTTTAAAAAGTTACTACAAACCTTTTCCAAAATGCCATCGCCAAGAGAGGAGATGGCATTCATCTTATCAGCAGGAAGTGGAGGAACGAATTGGATCATTTCCTTCTTCAATAACGTCAGTGGAACAGTGACGATGACGTAATCACACGTCAATTGCGTACCTGCCACTGTCGTCACCTTCACCTGCTTGTCTGTGTAGTTGATGCAGGACACCTGCGTCAGATTGCATTAGAAAACAGTTGAAATTAAACATCTAAATTTATTTCCCTGTAACAAAGTATAAGTAGTCACTATTGGGAATGCGCAAGCATCGAACTAATTCTTTGCGTAAACGATCAGGACAGATAAATAATAGATGTAATTGAACTTAATTTACTTCTAATCCCCCGACATCTGAATAAATAAATTATTAACAATTAATATTTTGCATGTCGAATGAAAAAACAAACAAGCCAAACGAAGAAAACCAACGGCACACAATGCAGCAGCCACAACAAAACGTACCTGGGTATTGAACCTGACATCGAGACCCCGAGCCATATGTGCCATGATCTTTGAGAGTCCGTCGTGTGCTCGGAACATCGTTCCGGCAAACTGAGGTACCTACAAAAAAACAACTTCATGTATTAAATTTTTGACAAATAAAATAAAATTTTATTTCCAAGTGTAAAACACCAATTAGAATAAAAAAGCGAAAAGAATGTAAGAGAGTGAGGAATGACCTGCTCATTGCCGTCCCAAAGTAGAGACGAGATGGAAGTTAGAGGTGCTCCACATGCCTCTTCCAAGTGTGCCATGTGGAAATTCATTATGTTCTCTTCTGTCTGCAAAGAGGTGCGACAAATACAATGAACAAGGCGCAACAATTTATCAAGTACCATCGTAAAATTTAACAGATTTTAAATGCTATCAACCATTAAACACCACAACTGAGAAGATTTCAAGTGTAAATTTCTTGCTTAGAACATATGCCACGGTTGCACAGAACATTACATGTTCAAAACTTCATTTATGGAATCAAATAGATCTTACTTATTTAGTAGCATAATCTCGATAAATGAATAAATAAATGAACCATTATAAATTATTATAAGATGATATCAATATATATGAACGGCGGGATGACGTGCCGGTGGAAGGCGCCCGTACCATTGATGAAGTGAGCGACTAGGAATGAATGCAGAGATGTCAGATGCAACGCAACGCAATGCAATGTGTGATTGTGAATGCAATGTGAAATTGATGCACACATCGATCCAAGCACAGTGACACGGGACAGGCTGGCAAGTTCAACAAAATGCTCGTAGTACGTTTTGATTTGGGTTTTTAGTGTACTTCGATTTAATTTAGAAGCATATATTCTGGGCATAATGACGGTAGAGAAAAATCGTTTTGAGATAAATCAACAAAATGCCAATGGCGGCCAACATGCACGAGAGAAACAGTATCAGTGATTATCACGAAGACATCTAATTACTTCTGTGAAGACCAGTTGGGTTTCCTCCATGAACTGGTTGTGCAGCTCCTTCAACTTTGCTGGATATAACAAATATTATTTCATATTTAAAGTTGTAACAATTTTCAAAAATATTTTTATTTATTTAATGTAAACTATAATTACGAAAAAAATGAAAATTTTTATAAAAAATGCCCAAGCAAGAATCAGTTCTTTGCATTTACAAGAACCACGTAGAAATTAGTGAAAAAAGAACGTACAGAACAAATCGACGTCCTCCCTCCGCTTCTGCTTCTTCCACGTGTCCAATGTGTCGAGAAGCGAGTTGAAATGGAAGTCAATGTACTGGTTGATGTTGTTTGGTATGACCTTACCTGCTTCATCAATTAGTGTGCATGAGTCTGACATTTCGATCAGTTTGATGTTCGTCTGTTAATTGGAGGAAGGTTTGCAGATGTCTCTCACTAATCTTTCATTAGATGAAAACGGCAAATATTGCAAACGGTGCAAAATTGTGAATAAAAACTGCGTATCGGTTGCCTAATAACAAAAAAACTACCGCTGAACTTGAAAATAATTTATTGAGACGTATCAATCGACTATGTAAACCAATGAGAAACATTATAAACTGTGCTAGACCAAATCAAACAGTTAATTGACCTACTAACCAACCAATTGACTAACCAACTGATCAGTTGACTGACTGACCAGTCATTCAGTTAATCAATCAATCACCCAGCCAGTCATCCATCCATGCGACCAACGAACCAACTGACTTGATGACTAAGTAGTGTGATAGGATTGTTGACACAACCAGGTATGATTTGAGCTCCTTTGGCCACACAGACTCCCATGCTGTGGTCGTCCAGCACACGTCCGCCCACTCTATCTCTCGCTTCTATCACTGTTACCTACCAACAGTAACAACAACAGTGTTCATCACTAATGAAAGATGGACAGAACAGAAAGAAATGAATTTTCATAAACTTAAATACCTCTGTTAAATGAGTTACTCAGAAAAATAGGATTGTGCGAATTTGATGAACTCAACAAAGATTTTAAGTTTGCTACTTTAAAAGACACAATCCCCAATGTGGTTAATTGTTGTTAATGATACATTCAATAGTAGCAACAACACTACAACAGCACATAACATAACATGGCCAAATGAAACTTAATAAAAATAAGAACAGTCATTGACCATGTAACGCGTAAAATAAGGATGAATATAGAACAAAGAGGAGACCTTGCACCCGATGTTGTTCAGATGCCTGGCAGCAGAGAGACCAGCCGGACCAGCACCTACCACTATCACTGATTTCTGTACATATTTGAACAAATAATCTCAAACGTTAATCAATTTTTTAATTTTGCCTCTGGAACTAAATTGATCTGTTTATTACATTAGATAAAAACAAAATAATTATATATAATAGAAACTCTCAAAATATTATTTACATATCTATTTTTGCACTGAAAATTGTGGAAAAAGCAAATCAGCGAAAAATACTATCAACCTTGAAAGGTTCAGAAGAACAAACATATTCAAGCGAGCCATGAAACAGCCCTGTGTTGACAATGTTGCATCTCGTTAGGTACCTGAGAATACGGGGAAGCGATTCAACACATTTGATTCTAATGAGACCCTTGCATATTAACTGACTGTGACACTCATCCATTGTCAACACATCCTGAAATGAAAAGTTGTTTCGTCAACACATAATTAATCATTAACGCTACTGCTACCATTATTTTATTATCATCTCAGTCAAAGTGGAGAATGCTCTGTGATATCTTTCCTGTGAATGGAAACATTGGTCACAAAGTTGTATCAGAGTTTAAAAAAATTTGTTTCAACTGAATATTTTTTGTAAAGGAAGACACAACATTACATAAAAAGGTTAAAAAAGGTAGCAATCATATTTTGTTAACAAATTTCAGACAACCGATCAATTTTTTCTAATAGAAATAATTTTTTCCCAGACTCAAAAATACTTAATCAAAAACTCAAATTAAAATGTTACAACCATAACTTCATATAAAAGTGAAAGCGTTTTCTAATAGAAGCTCGCTATCAAATTCTGTTTAAAAATCTCAGACATCTGTTCATTTTTTTTAGCATATTTTTTTCTATTAAAAATGATCAATTCGGAGTAATGAAATTTTTTATTTTTTCTATTGTTACACTGTTTTGGTAATTTGCACCAAAAATTTTTGTTAAGATATATTGGCTAGTTTGAGAGATGTAGCATTCTACACAGGTACAAGTTTTGAAAAATTCAAGGGCGGTGTGGCAAAACTTTTTATAAATTGAAAAATAGACAGATTTTTATGAAAATTTTATTCTCCAAAGAAATACATTGGGGTTCTTGCTGCTAAAAATAAAAAAAAATAGTTCAGGTTGGCAGAGAATGACTGATAATGTTGTTACTATTTGTATTACAACGCCGTGCTACTAGCTCTTCGTTTCATCTTAATAAGTGGGAAAAGAAATGACCTTGGGATTCTTGGTCCACAGTGCAACAATGATGTTTCTTACAGACAGGTAAATAAGAGGTTCCCTGAAAAAAGTCAATAACAATCAATGCAAAATATTTTGAAAAATCAACAATTTATAATTACCACACCAATGAAATGATAAAAAAACTAACATTTAAGTAGGCAGTCCTCACAGATTTAATCATGCATACACAGTGCACACACACACACACACACACACACACACACACACACACACACTAACCCGTACAAAAACAAGCTTTGCAGACAAACACGCAACATCAACACAAACAAATGGACTAACTTGATGAATTCAGGAAAATGCTTCAATTCATGTGGAGTCATGCAGTCTGGTGGCATTGCAAGTGCATGGGGCTGTGAATCAGGCTGGACGAACGGTTGGAAATAAAAAGGTACATGTGGAACTGATGAGATAGAGTAAAAATTAATATATTAAATATAATTTAAATATTTAATTAATATATTAATTATTAATTAATTTAATATAATTAAATATAATATAACTATTTTATTCTTAATTTATCGTGAAAATTATTTCCATTGGAGGCATAGTGACGTCTGCTTGAGTCTAATTATATTCAATTTATGTTATGTTTTTACGTGCTGAAATAAGCAGGTAACTTATTCATAACAATCACGTCATCAACAATAAAATTTGAGGAAATAGTTGATAGAACAGATCTTGCGTCATAACATTTCAGAAAGAGTCGATATCAAAACCGTGATGAAATAAGTGATTAAAACATGAATAACAAATTGTAACACTATCATTGAAAACATTTTACTATTGGAAAGAATATAAATTTTAAAAATGAGTCAATTCTGAGTGTTGACGAAACCACAAACCATCCGGAAATAATGGCTGATGTTCAGACACATCATCAAATGATTCGTTCAACGATTGGTCCGATTGGTCAGTAGTAGCATCCTTGTCTATCATATTATTAATATTATTATAAAATAGCGAAACATAATAATAAAAATAATAATTAACAAATAATTATTATTATATCATTCGTTCATTGATATTCCTAAGGAACATAAAATGAATGTCGTTTGGATGAAAGTATCTAATTTTGTTGTTGAAGTGACTGAATTTGAATGCAAAAAGATCCCCAAGTATGAAGCATGCTTGGATCCACTCCACTCATCATACTCACATGTGTTGGTCGATACTCCAGAGAAATAAATGTAATAAAAAAGAATGCTCAATGCTAAATATTGAACTTAATATAAATATCGCATCAATAATTTAATCACATTTCCATTCATATAAATAATACATTTGTGCCATTGTTTCATTTACAAATGTTGATTAATTTGTATAAAATTGAACTTTATTAATTAAATAAATTTTATGATTACTGTAGACATCAGATTGAAAAAAAAAATGAAAAACCTGCACTTTTGTTCATTTGAGATTTTTTAATCTTAAACTTGGAGGACACAGAGGTGATACTCATGCCAACTTTGTTAGGATGATAGTAGATAAGGAAGGGCTCAGACGGTGATGATATCATGAAGGGTGTGTATCCAACTGTATCTAACCATTCCTTCTTCCTACATTCAGAAACTACCTGGTGGATGGGTTTTATTCTTTGCATACTTATTAATGTTTTGTTCAATGGTATGCTGTTTATTGAACTGAGTAGTTTATGAAATGGGAAAAAGGAAATTGAAGTGAAATTTAATGGACTTGATCCATTTTAATGATATTTAGAATTAAGTAGTCAGTCTTCTAATTATTAGTAAATATTGTACATATAGAAAAAATAAAACAATAAAAATTAACAATGCAGAAAGTTAACAAGATATAATTTAAACTAAATTACATAATGTAAAAAAAATTAAAATTATAAGAAAAAATATTTTACTTCATTTTCATCAGTGTCACATGTGACATTGCCTAAACGCTGAAAATTTTTATGTAACAATATCATCATCATCATTTTCATCATCATTGTAAACAACATTATCATCTTCATCATCATACTCAATAACATCAACAGTAACAACAACAACAAATGGAAATTAATTTCATTCATTAACACAGTTCATTAACAGAAAGCCAATGTTGAAAAAATCATTGAAGAATGAAAGGGTAAACCTTGGATGATCTGCAAGTGAAATTTAAGATAAAATCAGAATTGATGTCTGTCTCCTTTGGCAGCATCCTCCATTTGAAGCATTCATTGCATCTCAGCCAATATGGCAAGAACTTATCCACTACAAACATCTTAACACTGGCATCTGACATTCCACTCATTGAACAAATTTTTTTCCACAATGTGAACTGCTCGTTGCCTTCCTGTAAATCAAAACCAACCCATCAACATAATTGTAAGAAGAACTCAGTAAAATAATGAAATAATCAAAATATTAATTGCTTCAATATTATTAGAATGAAAGTTTAATATTGTATGCATGAAGTTGAAAAAATTATAAACTGGAAATAAGACATTTATCAGAAATGAGTTGACAATGTCTTTAAATGTCAAAAATGAAAAAAATGAGAGAAGATGATCAAAGATGATCGGAAGAAACCTTATTGCTCCTGTAGAACATGTCGAAGCAGTCGTTGCAGTAGTGTTCTCCAATCGAAATGTGGTACCAGCGTGATGTGGCCCCACCACAATATGCTGCACACCTTTGTAAATATTTTCATTGTTATTGACAAATTTTATTATTGAGAAGAAAAAGGAAAAATTTTACTCCAAAAATTAACAAGTTTGAGAAATGAACTCTACATCTAATTAATTTTGTAATAAATTTGAGAAAATATTAATCTTCCATAAAAATATAAAAATTATTTCATGAACCTGTTTGAACCCTTAACAACACAAGTTGGTCGAACACTGGACTTTGCACATGGCCCTTTATCACAAAGTTTGACCACCCTTGTCATTGCAAGGTCTTCTACCTTGTCACTATCAGAGGCAGCAGCAGTAGCAGCAAGTGCACCTGAACTAGATGGTAGAGATAATTTTCGTTTGCGAATTTTCTTTACTGTAACTGGTACTTCTTCATTTTGCTCACTACCACTTGATATAGCAATTGAATGACGCTTTTCAGCTTTGGAGCTTTGGAAATAATTTAATTTTAACACATAAATATTACAATTAATAAAAATTTTATTGATAATTTTACTGACTTATCAAAGTTGTAGATGAAGTGAAGCAACATTAATAGCAGTCTTACATTATATAATTATTGCAATAAAATTAATAAATTATAAAATTTACGTAATTTTTAATTTAGTTTTTTATGTCTTTATAAAATATAAATACAAATAGCTTTTAATATGCCTTACTTAACTTACTACTTACTGTTGCTAACATCTCTGACATAATGGTCATAATTATAATGCAATGTTAATAAAACTAATCACATTACAGAGATAAAATATAAGCTTTCATTTTTCAAATTTGCAAAAAAACAAAATAAAAAAATTAAATTTATTAAAAATTTAAATTTAAAAAGAAATAATAAATAAAAACAACTCACAATGCAGAAAACTTGAGCGAATTTACAAAATTTGGATCCCATTTTTTTTGACTGTTTCGTTTAGGCCTTTCTTGCGACGACTGAGCATCCATGACAATTTAATGAAACCGTAAAAATAATTAACTTTTAAGACGTTTCGCTTTTGATATTTTGTAGTCTAAAATTGAAATTCCCCTATTTTCACTCAATCCTAGCGACAAGCATAGAAAAACAAACTTACTGCCTTAATTACCAAAAAAACAATTTTGGGTCTTTGTCGTAATGTAAGCAAGATGTAAGCATCATATTCTTATGAAAAATGTAATGAAGGTTAAAGAAAGGTAATAGTAAAATAAATTTTATAAAACTAAGAATATAAACTACAAATATCTGTTATGTATACCCTAAACACTTTACAGCAAAATCTATATTGTCTTGAAAGTAAAATTAGTGTTTTAAAAGTTAAGTTCACATGTTGTCATAAATGGAAGGGGCTCAGTGTTGGGTAGCAGAAATGAAAGTAGTGGGCTGGTTGTGGTTGATATTAATAAGAATCTCAATCACACAATCACTAGTTTTCGATTATTTTAGATGAGATAGTGAATTGGAGTAGTCCGAAAACCTTGGAAAATGTTAGGTAATAGATAAACTAACTAATCTTATCATTTTGTAATAATTGTTCGCTTAGTTTGCTTATTATTTGGAAAATTTCTAACTTTAAAATTTTATTTAAACAATGAACTATCTTTCTAGTATTCAATAACATGAATAATAAAAGTTAATCGATTAAATTTCTGCGATTGGTGGATGGACATGTCCAGCGAGATCTGAATGTGTTGCGATTGGTTGCATGGAATGAGTGGGAGGACCTAAAAATGCTATAAAACAAAACGGTGTACATGTTAAAAACTTGATTCGATGTGCTCGTATATTTGGATTTATAAATTCAAATAAAGTATTTTTAATAAATAAAAAGCACAGACCCATTAATTTTTTCAGATAATTTATACCTACTTAGAATATGCTTTGAAAATTTAACTTGTAAAAATGTATTTGTAGAAATAAAAATAAGTTTGAACAATCATAAACAATGACTTTCAGTATTTGGAATCCATTATTCGGCAGACGAAACGTCAACGTCGATCCCATCAGTTGCACATGTGAGCCACATCAGCAGAAAATTCACGACCCGCCTTCCAAAGCGGGCCACTTTAACGTCATAAAACATCACAGCAAGCAGTTCAGAAGTGAAATGAGATCATTCTGTCACGTGCCAAAATCTTCAAGGCTGCAAAACGTTTTTGAAAGACAAAGTTCGGATGTAGTTATCCGTCGGTGGTGGTGTGAAGATGATGATGCAAATGTCTTTCGTGACAGCAACAGCAGCATTAACAACACACATAACATTACAATAAATAGCGGCATAACGGCAGATGATTCACCTAATTTTAGCGCTGATGTTTTTGATGAAATCGATGACGATGAAACGAATGGAAATTGCGTGCATGAGCTGTGTGGATCAGCAGTGGGCCAGTCAAACCGCAAAGAAATTGTTAATGAGGAATTGAACGGCAACAACCTCAAGCATAATAATGACATCATCAATACACATAACAGTTGCTCTAAGTATGATGATAACGTCATCAATATACATAACAGTTGTTGTGAGTATAATAATGACATCATCAATATACATAGCAAATGCAGCAACTATGATAATGACATCAACAACGACACCACTCCCGTTTTCAACATCAAAGAAATGACTAACAAAGAGTTTACTTACAATATATATTCAAAAACATCGCATCAAGAAAATCTCAAACCTCAACAATCTGTTTCAAATTTCAACTTCAATCAACAAAATTCTTTTGGAATTCCAACAAAATTTTTGTTCAGCGGTCAAAACGATTACAACAACACACTTTACAGAAACAAAACAAATTGTTATAGCCACAACGCTAGCAACTTTAATAACTATTTTATTTGTCAAAAATTGAATTATATTACAAGCGGTGTTGCACAGCATAGAATTTGCAACGCAGCTACCGTTATCAGAAACAACATCAGTGCGAATCATTGCAACTACGGAGAACACTGTAAAATGCTATCAAGTGTTACTTCAAACGCAAGTAATCACAACAACACTAATTGCCAAAACAACGCGGTGAACAACCTCAAGAACAACATTGGTACAAATCACCGTCAAATGCAAATGAACCTCCACACAACATCCAGCCAGACAGCAACCGCCACCAGTGGTCCCAAACCATTCGAATGTGCTCGTTGCTGCAAGCGCTTCAAGCGGTCGTCCACATTAACGACCCACATGCTCATCCACAGTGACATCAGGCCGTTCGTTTGTTGCTTCTGCAGGAAGAGATTCCATCAAAAGTCAGACATGAAGAAGCACGTGTATGTACATACCGGTCAGTGAGGTTCTGTGTTTGTGTGTGTGCGTGCCTCTTTCTCTGTGTACTTCTCTCTATCTCTCTGTGTGCTTCTCTCTCTCTGTGTGCCTCTTTCTATGTGTGTGTGAATCTCTATGTATGCATGTGAATCTGTGTGCGTTTGAGTAGTTTTCTGAATCTCACGTTCCATAAGTTTTAGTAATGCTATCCAATTTTAATGTTTTTTCCCAATCTGTTTCAAATGAACTGTTGTTGCATGCACTCAACTGCACCTTTGGCCTTGCAACGACGCAGGAGAAAAGCCATTCAAATGTTACGAGTGTGGCAGAAGTTTCAGTCAGTCGTCCAACCTGCTCACTCACAACAGGAAACACTCCGGATGCCTGCCTTACAGGTTCTATGCTTCCGATATTATTACCAATATTTTACAATCTTACGGTGTCAATTCTTTATTTTTAAATATTTTTTATTCATTACCTCAAATTTAAAATTTCGTTCAACGTCGATATTGTAGGAATTCAATGAGGCTTTCTATTTGAAACAATTGCTCCATCGTCATTTTAACAATTTAATTTGTTGAACAATATATATTTGTAATGTAATTTGTGTTTGTAATGTAATGAACATCGACAGCATTAATTTCTTACAAACACATTGTTCAACTCAGCAGAATTGTTTAAACAGCATAAATTCAATTTTTGAACTCGCGCTTCATTTGGATAAAATAATATAACGTAGAGGCGATTGTGCAGTGTGCAGGGCTGTCAATGCAGCAAAGAGACCAACAGAAATTTTGTTCTTTCATATTTTGACGACCATGCATCCACTTTACAAATAATTCATTCTCTCAACAAACTTTTTTATGGTTTAAGAAATTGAATACGATATGATAACAAACAAAAATGACAGCAACACATGGCGACTAACCTACATAATTTCAACGTTATTTTTAACTTCTGCTGGCCAGGTGTGACTTGTGTCTTACATCGTTCATGAGGAAGAATGATCTGAAGAACCATCGAGATGTCTGTCACATCAACAACCACAACAACATCACCACATCAACATTAACACAAAAGACAACATCAACAACAACAACTTCATAAACAGCATCGGAGCAACAAAATAATCTAACAACAACACTAAGACCGCCTTCAACAGCAACGACGACAACTTCGAGAACTAACAATTTGAAAAATATCGCAAACAAGCATCACATAGATCAATATTTATTTCACACAACAATACGATAATACAAACAACAACAACAACGACGACAACGACAACGACAACAACAAACAACAACAACATTAACAAAATGACAATTTATTTTTGTAAGCACAAACAGTTCCACAAACGTGCATAAGAAAGTTTTAACTTAATTTCTAATTAAAAATCAGACAACACAACAAACTTCCAACGTTAAAATGATTAACGAAAAAAGCAACTTATATTTTCGATATTTTTTCTTCATTATGCAGAACTGCTTGGCTTTCATGCTACTCTTGTATACTTATAATTTATTAATATACATCCATTCCATAATCATTATATGGCATAATAGAATACGGTATAAAATAAATTAAAAGTGATTAAACACAAAGCCTGCCAGCCTACCTCAACACACACACGCACGCACGCACCCACGTACCACACACACGCACACACACACACACGCACATGCACCTGGAGGAGGAATAAAAGTAGTGGAGCATATAAAAGGATTCATCGCCTGATTTATGCTCGGCCAATCATTGAAATTCTGAACACGCGCCATTGAACGCGCTGATTATTGAGACGTTTCTGTTAATGGTCGCTGGATTAACTACTGCTGCTTCGCTCTTAAATACTTCATCCGCTTCAAATGGACACACTCCAACCTCGTAAATTTCTGTATTTATTCTCCGTCTATTGGTGTCATTGTTGACCGAGACTTTTGTCTCGTCTGTGGTGTGTGCGTGAGAGAGTATGTAAGAGAAGGAAAGAGAGAGATAGAGTGTGAAAAGAGAGAGAACAATGAAGAAGAGGACAGGTTAGGGGATTTCGCATCATATATCTTTCTTGGTCACATGGTTTTAGTGTGCGCGCGTGTGTATGTGTGTGTATATGTGTACGTTTGTGGCCTATCCATATAAATTCAGGAAATTGAGTCAGCAAGTAAATTATTGAAATAAAACACAGATAAAACAAGCAAATAAAGTTCTAACCAAATGTCTTTGAGCTAATTAATTGGGCATCTTATAATGTGCACCCTCAAATTTTAGAATTTTGTTGCCACTCAGTGGGTTACTTTGATACAGTAATGTTTCTGAGCGCTAGACATTGGAATATTTCTTCAGGATGGATTCGAACCAGACAATATGAAATCCTCTATGTATTATTTTTTTTATAATAGAAGAAATCAAATGTTAATAAAACTTACAAATTTTTTTTATTTCCTATTTTTCAAATTTGTATACTTAACCATCAAAAACTTACGTCTGTGAAGATGATCTCGAGGGTATTTGACATAATATTTAACAATAAACAGCTAAATCATCATAACAATAACAATAATAATAATAAAAAATATTAACAACAATAACATTAATAGAATGATAATTCTACTCCTGTCTACCACTACCACTACTCCTACCACTACTACTTCTACTACTACCACCACTACTACTACAACTACTACTCTCACAACTACTACTACTACTACTACTACTACTACTACTACTACTACTAATAATAATAATAATAATAATAATAATAATAATAATAGTACTATTATTATTATTATTATTACTACTACTTATATACTTATATATTAATCATCATTATGATAATTAATATATAGGACTCACACAGTTCAGTAAGTTGTGTACGCACGTACGTTAAATTGACATTAAAAAAAAATCTTGACATTTCAATACTGTGGATGTCGTCACTTCAGCTCACTTTATCTCCGTTAGCCTCTTCTAAAAATATTTTTCAAATCGAATTAAATAAACTATATAATGTGATGTATGCATTACGATTGAAAAATATGATCGAGATACAGTCACATCAAGTTTATTTATTCATTATCAGATGATGATCATGACGATACGATATAGGATACATATACTTATGAATAAATATAAAATGATTACGATATGATTATTCAGAGACATGTCCTGCCACCATAAAATGATACCATCATTATATTCTAAAATCAAACCTTTAGCAATGGAATAGTGTTATATAAATAAAGCACAAAATAAGAACAAGCGAATTACGTAGGAACATTAGCATGTTAGTAATGCATTTTTTCTCTCAGTGCACTGCACACTAACACTTGACTGGAAGTTACCTGTATGTATATGCATTCACAGCAAGTATGCTAGAGAAATATGGCAAGCTCGAATCGCTAAATAACTATGCTTATATTTATATGCAAATATATAAAAACATCGCATTGCCCGTTTTATTTCGATACACGTACACAAAAACACTTGAAAACACTTGGAATTGTTGAAGTTTGGTCAAGAAGACTTATATGGGTGGTGGCATGCGACTGATTGCGTGCAACAATGTCTTAAATAATAATAATATATGTTATTCGCATGCTCGCCTACTTTGATTTGATTTGTTTAATGTAGAAATTAAAGGATACTTGAAAATTCAAATGAATTAGCTTGAAATGTGTAATATAAGTGTTGTCAATTGTTATTTCTTGTGACGTTAATACGTTGATTTTCTAGATCGGATGCGATTTTAACTCAAATGTTTATTACGAATTAAATTATTTAAACGACATTATTAAATTTAAACATTATCAAAATTTGTTGAACACATGACAATTTACCATCTATTCAGCAATGGAATCTTGTAGACGATTGATTATTTTTAACAACAAAACGATGCTGAGCTCTGTCTTGCTCGTTTGTATTTTCTTGATTGTTTCATCAGGTTTAGCAGAGACTGGTCAATGCCCGAAGGAAAAATTTTGTAACGGTCCGATCAAAAACGGAGTAGGTAATAAACTAAACTGTAGCTGTCCGGAGGGTTTCATGGTGCTGTCAAACTGTTGTCTGGACCAAGCGTGGATCATTGGATTGAGTGCTGGGTCGGGAGGTCTGCTGCTCTTCGTTATCGTCATATTGTCGCAGGTTATTTGCTGGTGCAACTCGAAGAATAAAAAGTTGCAGGCGCTTGTCGACCTGAATGTTAATAGGCTCCAGGATATTATGTCAGTATATTCTTGATCCATTGTTTTGAAAATCATTTCAAATAATATTAGCAATAGTGATGACGATGATGACCATGATGATGATAAAATTATTAGCACCAATTATTTAAAACCTTTTTTAAAATTGTAAAACGTTTTAAAAATTTCTTATTAAATCAGTTTACAAATATTTTACGGTGATGATTGTTTACAATTGTTATTCGTAGTGGATGTTGTTGTGGTCTACCAAACTGAAGTTGCTAGAAATATTTTGTTACCTGTTGAATATTTTTAATAATGGTTTAGTCTGCATTTCAATAATCACTGGATTAACTGATCAAGCGATTTATTTTATTATTTCGACCCACCTGCGAACATTGTAATGATATTCGCATTCGTCCAGCAACGATCAGGCTGATTGATTTAAGTAAGCTCTGTGACGTAGAAGAACAATTGGATGACTCGAGTTTCTTAATTGCAAATCTAAAGCCATAGCTATTAGAGTAACAATATATCTAATTCTAATAGTATTATTGCCAATTTTTTGTGTAAAAAATTGGGCAAAATATTTTGGCAAGAATATTTAAAGAAAGATGAATTTTTGCTCGCTAACAAAAAATCAAGATTATTTATAAAATATTATTATCGTCTATAAACGTGCTTTGGATATAATTAAAACAGGAGCGAACAGAAGAAAAAACCAGAACCAACAGAAAAATCCGGATCCGTATCTGCTGCAGAAAAGCCAGCAATTGATTCTATCGCCGAAGTTAAAAACGTAGAACCTCCTCGAAAAGTTGTGCCCACCGGTGAAGCTTGGGATTACAGGTATACCAACTTCCCCAACAGAAACATCGAAAATAGAAACGTTAGCATTTGTGTTACATCGCTTTCGCAGTAATTCTCAAATTTACATTCCATCTATATTTTTTCTCTGTCACTTTTTTAAACAGGACATAACTTACAAAAAATATTCAAGTCAAATTTTATATTTTAAACAAAATAATTTAAATTTAATAGCATTTTCAATATCACGTAACATTTGTCACAAAATATGTCATATTCTTAAATTGATAGAAAATGTTTTATCATATCCTCATAAATAGCGTCTTGCCTTAAACCGAATACTTTACCCTTCCATTCACACATCCATCCAATGATGCATACACACTCATCCATCCAGCAAAGCATGCCCATTTTCCATCTATCCATCGAAGCATGCACAATTATCCATTCATCGAAGCACGCACATTCATTCATTCATTCATCCATCCATCGATGCATGCACATTAATTCAGCAACCTCAGATAGCACGCGGATATATGAACGGCGGATTTGATCCTTACCGTGATGATGATATCAAGAAGCAAGTTTTTTACGAAGAGCTGAAGAAAACCCAATCAATTGTGGTACATTTTGTTCTGTTTAATTAAATGTTGGAATATTTTAAGTTTTTGTAAATTTTCATTGATATTTTTTAATCCTCTTTACCACATTGTGCCTTCTGCAAATTTACTCGATACATTAATTTATTTGCCAGAGCATTTATTCATTTGTTTAATTTATTATATAATCTATTAATTTAGTTTAATTCTGTCTGGTAATTAAATTATGCCATCGTGAATAAGCATGTTCACAAAATTTCACCTTAATAGGAAAATGGGAAGTTATCGAAAAATCTGTTACAAGATTTTTACTATAGAACAAAACATTTGCTTTCGCACATTAGTTTGCTATCGCAATGATAGATTAGATCAACAATTACACAAGCCATAAAAACATTAACAATATTTTAAATTTATTTATAAATTAACGAGTGTTGTGTAATGATCCCGTTAGGGCTTCCAACCGACGGCTGTTGTGTCTTCTGAAGTGGCTGCCTTGGCTCAGAATAGAGATAGGAGGGAAGATGGTGAACGCCGAAACGATCAAATGGTCAGAGCGTCTTCCCCAGCTAATCTTGATTATTATTATGGAGCCCAAGGTCAAAAAATTTATAAAATTAAACTGGATCGAGGCGAACCTGAACAATCGGTAAGAGATATGATTTAAAATTTAGATTAATTGCTTGCTTGTAGAAGTATTTGCATATTGTCCGCTACTAGTAAAATTTTGAATACTAAAAACATCACTCAAGACTATCTCACCATTATTTCCATGCAAAATTTTTGTACACTATTCTATTCTATAAGATCTTCATTAACTGAACCCATTGAGTACCATTGCACCAAAACGGAAGCTGAAATGTCGTTAAAAGCTAATACAGCAGCAACAACAAAAACAACATTGACCATCATGCGATTGAATATTAATTTACACAGTGATAAAATCGTTTAATTGGTACGCATCTAACTTCATTAGGTTCACATTTATTTGTATCTAGTAAATTTATTATTAATTGAAGTATAAAATTCGTTTTTTAGTTTTCAATCAAGCGCCCGACAATGGGTTACTACTGATGATTCCAGGGACGGAAGAGAATGAACAATCTTTTAATTTTTAGCTTGTTTTTATTTATTTGCGGTCATCATTCAATGTTCCAATTCATAATTATTCACGTCTTTATAAGCTCAGCTGTAAAGAGAAAGTAACGAATTGAATTCACTCAATTGATTCATTCAATTGGAAATTATTTTATGTATAACTTATTTTTACAAACGTTTTATTGATAAAAATACTTACAATTTCCAACAAATTCAAGAAAAAATGATATTTTGAAGTCCTATCATTAAATTAATATAAAATGTATTTATAACGACGACAAACGTACGAAGGAAAGAAAGAAAATCATGATTAATATATATTTATCAAGCAATAAAAATAAAAACAATCGCAAGTTATTTATTAATGAGAGTGAGACGAAGATGATGCCACAAAGGCTCTCACGAACCTTTTACGAATAAAAACTCAAACTGTCAACATGAGTCTATGCTGATTAGGGTAGGGGAGACGGGGGCCGAATGGACCGCTTTTTTTTGTCGCTCACTAAATATTTTTTCTTTGCTCAACAAAATCAGCTATCGCTATTTTAATAACTGATCTTGATTTGTCATTATCTTGCACAGTTGACGGTATTTTTTTAATATTTCCAAATAACGTAATTTTTTTATAATTTAATTTTTAAGGTGGGTTGTTCCAATTTTTTTGGTGGTCCATTCGGTGCAATAGCGGTGTACTGGATGGACCGGGTAAAGTACCAAATGGACCATTAAAGAATAGCAACAAATTCATGGAAATAAACACATTTGAAGTATTTTTAATTGAAACAAAAATTGAAATAATAAGATTATTCATGTATGCAAAATTCGCAAATGTAATCAACTGCACTAGAAACACTCGTGCAGAGCTCGTGAGCCCACTTGGCACAATTTCTGCAACGAAACCACATTTCGTTGTCTCGGCCAGCCTCACCACACATGACGCATATGTCCTTCTCAGCATATAATTGTCTTTTAATTTTATTTTTTTTTGTTACTCTGTTGCTCTCTTCGGATATTTGATTTTTTTTATTTTGTTGCAATTTCCTTTTGTTCATGATGGGACGTTTTTTTATCTCTTCACGAGTTTGCTGCACGCGAAGCTCTTCTTTAACTGGGGTGTCGGTTAACACTCTGGAAGTTAATTTCTTACGTTTAGTTTTACGTACCTGACGAGCT